ATTCATTTCTCATTAATCCTCACTCCTGTGTGCAACTTATATGCCTCAGCCACACTGAATTGACTACCTGTTGCTCCCTTGACATGTATCCTCCTCTTTCCTTCCTCCATGCCTTTGTCTATGCTGTGCTCTCTACCTGGAAAGCCTGCCCCTACATCTCCCTAGTCAAAGCCTAGCTCAATGTCAAGTGCTTTCCCCAGCTTCCCAGGGTCAGTCAGCAGCATAGTCTGGCTCTATCTCTGGCCCAGGATAAGATACTCTGGATTAGACAGTGGATTCCTGGGGCCGTGTCAGGAGAACAGGACAAATAACAACCACAGCCTTCTCAGGCTTCTTGCCTTTCCTCCCACCTTAAGCTGGCTTTGTATGGCCTCAAAATACTGTCAGACCTCTGTCCAATCTCCACTGTGACTGAAGCAGAAATCCAGGGCACAGAGTCCAGAGAATTCAGAGATAGAAGCCCCACCTCCACTCCCATCTAAGCCCTTTCCACCTCCCTCCTCTACTTCGCAACCCTGCCTTCCTGGGCTGAAGATTCAACACTATTTTTAGAGCACATGTTGGCCTGGGACTCCTGGAATCCAGCTTGATGTCTGAGATGTAACCTGACCCTGGGCTGGCACTGGCCTTGAGCTCTAGCTGGGCAGGGGAGCCACAACAGGGCTCAAAGGCAGTGCTGGGGCCAGGGCCCCGTGGGGAGACAGACCTTCTGCTGAGATCTCGAGAGTGTGGGGTTTCTCCCAGGACACAGGAGGCTTCTACAACATGACCCACCTAAACTCCTTCTTTGACAACTGGGGCCCAGAGGGTCCAAGGTTACCAGCAGCGGAACTGGCATTGAATTCATGTTTCCACAATGCAGTCAGGCTGCCAAAAATTGGAAAGTGGAATAGAAGAGATTGTGGCCTTACTTTCTTTTTTCAAATTTAGTTACTTAGTTAGTTAGTTAGTTAGTTAGTCCTGGCTTTCTCTCCCATTCTCTGTATTTCCTTCAACTCCTATCTCCAACTTAACACAACAGAGAGCCCCCAATGTACGCTGTAAGCTGATGGCCTGCAGGCCAGATCCAGTTTTGTTGGGCCACAAATAATTTGAATTTATTTTTACGATTGTGGTAAAATACATATAACATAGAATAGGCCATCTTAACTTTTTTTAAGCATCCAGTTCAATGATATTAAGTACTTCCACATTGTTGTAAAATCATCAACACCATTCATCTTCAGAACTTTTTTGTCTTTCCCAATTAAAATTTTGTACCCATTAAACATGAACTGTCCATCCCCTTCTCCCCCCAAGTCCCTGGCAACCACCATTCTATTTTCTGTCTCTAGGAATCTGACTACTCCAGGGACATCATATAGTATTTGTCCTTTTATGACTGGCTTATTATACTTAGCTTAATGTCCTTCAGGTTCCTCCATGTAGTAGCATGTGTCAAAATTTTCTTTCTTTTTAAGGTGGAATACTATTCAATTGTGTGTACAGACAACATTGTGTTTATTTGTTCATTCATTGATGGACATTTGGGTTGCTTTCACATTTTGGTTATTGTGATCATGTTGCTATGAACCCAGGTGTGCAAACATTTCTTTGAGTTCCTGCTTTCAATTCTTTTGAGTCTATATCCAGAGGTTGACTTGCTAGATCATATGGTAATCCTATTTTTAATTTATTGAGGAACAACTATACCGTTTTCCATAGCAGATCTTGAATTTTTAAAAAATTAGTTGCCAACATTAAAAAAAAAATCTAGGTTTCATACTTCTCTTGAGAAATTAAAGGTGCACCCCTAGCACCAGCCTCATAGGGCCCCACTCCGAGATGCCGGCACCCACAGGCAGAAGTTAGAAGTCAGAACCTCCTCCTCCGAAGTCAGGGTCCCGGCTCTGGAGGTCCCTCTGCTTGGTTCTAACTGCTTTCCTTTGTCCCCCGAGCCCTAGGCAGTAACTACTTCCCTCCGTGAGGCTCTGTGATACCTCAGTGGTCCCCCGTTGCCTTTTCAGTCCTCCTGTACCTAACACATCCCGTATATTAGATCTTTCTGTTAAAATACCTGATGTGGCTGTTTTCCTGGCCGGCCTCTGGCTGGTACCACACAGATGGTGCTCCTGCCTGGCAATGCTGGATAGCAGCTGCTCTCTTTGGTCAGATGTGAGTTCTTCTGGTCACCTTGTCCCCAGTCCCCATGATTCTGTATCTGGCTGCTTTTGCCTGCCTGACTGTAAGGTATCTGATGTGTGCCCCTGCTCTAACCAAGTAACTCTTGCTTACTGAGTATCTACTATATGCCAGAGGCTGTATATAAGACTTGCTATAATTTTCTCATGTAACCCTCTCCAGAGCACTGTGAGGTGGGCACTGCTGTGATGCCTGCTATACAAATGAGGAAACTGAGGCTGGGAGGGGGGAAGCTAACCACACTGTCCTAAGTCAGCAAGTTCATATTTTTTTTATTTTCATATTCATTTTAGAGAGAGAGGAAAGGAGAGAGAAACATTGATCTACTGTTCCACCCACCTATGCACTCATTGGTTGACCCCTATATGGGCCCCAGCAGGGGATCAAACCCACAACTTGGTGCATCGGGACGCCAAGCCAACCAACTAAGCTAACCGGCCAGGGCCCGCGTGTTCATACTTCTGTCAAGAACCTTTGTATTCTATGTATACGTTTGATAAATATCTGATCTGTGCACTCCAGGCTCCCTTTAGAAGAAAATAATTTATACACAGTCACTTGAAATCAAAATCTCAGAAACTAACATTTCCAGTCTTAGTTTTCTCCTCCGTAAAATGGGGATCATGACAGATACTACCTCCCAGGGTTTCGATGAGGGTTAAATGACACGATGTGTGCAGAGTGCTTAGCTTCACACCCAGCATGTGCGAAGTACTGGACAAATGTTAGCAATTGACATTATTACCTAAATATAGAAGGATTATATGTAAAGCATGAAATACATAACAGCTGGAAATGGTGCTCATGGAGAGTAAGTAGTAATGGAAAAATGCTTATTCTATGTGAAAGAAAAAAGGATCCAAGATAAAAATAAATGAACTCACACACTAAAAAGACTCACAGAAAACAGCCAAAATATTATCTGTGGTTGATTTAGGGTGTTGAGATTTGGGGCATTTTTTTTTCTAATAAATACATAAAAGGTGCGATCCCATCAGCATTCCCATTAGCTTCTTCACAGAAGTTGACAATTGGATCCTAAAACTTGTATGAAAATGCAAGGGACCCAGAGCAGCCAAAACAATCTTGAAGAAGAGGAACACAACAGGAGGACTGTGCCGCAGGCAGGGACGCCAGGGCGAAACCCAGAGCCCAGCATCGGGCCCTCACAGCCGGGACTAACAAGAACATTCTCTGCTGGTAGGTGATTAGTCTTCTGAAAGAATGCCCCAAGCTTCTCCAGAAACGAGAGAATGTAAATTCTCTAGCCTCATTGTCTCCAAAAGACAATTTTTTCACCAGACCATAGTAATTTAACGGAAAAGGGCATACAGTTAGATTTTCATAAAGCTTAGTTTATTAATTTCAAACCCCATTTTGTTTCTGATGATCATTTTCCTGCTTTTTTCTTTTTGATGCAAAATTGTCCCTCCTTTTGTAAAATGATGCTGATAGCTGATGTTTCTCGTTATTTTTATTGTCCTCAATGGGCAATGCAAAGAGCTGGCAGCCCTCTCTTTCTCAATTTAAAAAAAAATTCTATAACTGAGAATCCCAGACTCTGGGAATCACTGGGAAAAACTTGCAGCTCTGACACTTATTTCCTGTGAGAACTTGAGCAAGTTATGAAATCTCTCTGGGTTTCTGTTTTTTCCATCTGCCAAATGGGGATGATTCAGACATCTCAAGGCCGCTGTGAGAATTAAACCAGATTATGTATGCGACTGTCCTTGGATCATCATAACCACTTGAAAAGTGTCCTCCAGTGCCTATGAGCTCCCTGAAGGCTCCCACTTTTGTCTTCTGCAAGTTGGAGAGTTCTTGTTTCTTCAGTCATTCTTCACATTTCCACTCTAGTCTCTTCTGTGTGTTCTCAGTTTGTCACTGCTTTTCTTAATCTATGAGTCTAGAACTAAATGCATGCTTCTGGTGTGGCCTGGCAGTGTAAGGTAGGACCACCACACCTCCAATCTAGACTCTGTACCTCCATTCATTCAACCAAAATTTACAATAGACTTTGTTTTGTGCCCTTATCTCATTTCTATGGTATTTGCTGAGCTGAGGGTATCAAAAAGCATCCAGATCTTTTTCATAAAAAATGTTTGCAAAACCCTGTCTCCCATGCCAGATCTGTGCAGCTGAAGTCTTGGACCTAAAATGAGAAGCTTTACTTTATATTTATTCCCTTTTATACTTTACTCAATAGGACTAGGTGCCCTCCCTCATAAATGAAGTCGAAGAAGATCCCAAATGTGTTTTTACACTCAAAAAACCTGAAGAAATATTTCACTGACCCTTTTCAGTCCAAGGAAGAAAAAGTTTATTTGAATCTTGGTCAGAGCCCAGGCAGGGCTGCAGGGCTGGCCCTAGGTGACGGAGCCCAGGTACTGTGGCTTTAGTCCCCCATCTCTCACCCACAACAGGTTCACCCAGGGGACCCAACAATGGTGGTTCCCTGTCTCAGGGCAGTGGACTATCTGTCTGTCCTGGGACGGCTCTGGGGGAACCGAGAGAACACAGAATAGCCTGGTGACTTGAGAGAAACCAGGAGATCAGATGGATTATAGCTTGCAGGGCCCAGGGGTCTCCAACTGCCTCCTGAGAGCAGCGATGTCCCAGAGTCTTCCTGCTGATCCAGGTGCCATGAAGGGCTCAGTTCCCGCGCCCTCCCTCTGCCTTCCATCCTGACAGCTGGAATGCATGCCAAGGCTGCCCAAATGATACCTCTGCCAGGGCTGGTGCCAATGTTCGGACCGCATGGAACGAAAAGTGCTCTCCTTATTGCTCTAGCCTGGCCTGTCTGCGTGTCTCTCAGAACGTCACTCTGTGCTCAGGGATGCCGTTGGAGTCACACCGGGGTCTGTCTTGGCGGCTCTCCTGGCACTGGCCTCAATCAGTCTTCCTGAACCTGGGAAGGAAAAGCGCACAGGATGGCATGGGACTCTGAAGCAGCCAGGCCTCATTCCCACCATCACCGCAGATGCCTTAATACCCCTCACAGCTGGAATAATGGAGTCACCCCAGAAGCCACGGGTCTCAATAATCCACAGCCGTTGCAACTAATTTCCCCTACATGAATTAAATGGCTTAAAGGGGATGGAAATCTTCAGCCCAGAGACACACAGCTTTTCAGTTTTGAGACTGAATGATAGCCAGAGAGCTGCTAGTTATAAAATAGGATCTCCTTTGACTCAGCCCAGCCCCTCTAGCTGTGTGACCCTGGGCAAGCCACTCCACCTCTCTGAACCTCAGTTTCATCAGACAAGTGCCAGACAAGTAACCCCTGTTCCCCCTGCCCAGGGCCCCCAGTTGCTGTCAGGCCAATAAAATCATGAGGAAGACAGAATTTGGGAAAATGTGAAGTTCTGTGACAGAACACCCAGATTCCCTTCCCTTTTCTACAGTGTTTCACACTTGGGGACTTTTGCATCCATTCCTCAGATGGTTTTTGCAAGCACCCTTGTGTAGTAGGTGTTATTACACCCATTTTTCAATTGAGAAAACTGAGGCTAAAAGAGGCTCCAGGGCTCCATAGCTGGTAAATTGGAAGAGGCAGTACTTGAACCTAGGCCTGAACTTGAGGCTCTGAGCTCTTTCCTATATGCTAAGCCTTGTTAGCAACAGGGGACCCTGGTCAGGAGAGAGAAAGTGAACTTAGGAAGAAAGTAAAAGTTACCTATCAGCCTGAACTTCTGAAAGAGGGGGATGAAGCCGTGCAGGACGCTGTGGATCCGGTACACTGCCCAGACAAGAAGAGAAAGGTGGCTGAGCTTTGTGCCTCCTCCAGGGACCTGGGGTCAGACCTCCTCCCACCCACCCTTGGACACAGGCTTAACCCACACAAACAAGTTTCTAATGGTGGAGTTTCAGGCAGCAGGTTAAGCTTAGATAATAGTACTAGAGTTATTAAAAACAACAACCATGAACAGCAATAACAGTGCCAGGAAATGGAGAATGCAGCGCCCAACCCCATTAACTAACTTGTTTTCAATGTCTGCCTAATCCTGTTTGTTTGCCACTTTCAACTGTTTTTGTTGCATTTTTACAGAGCTGCCCATTTTTTTCCACAGAGTTTTGCTAACGACCTCGCACTGACCTTGAAAGTGGTCAGGAAGAAAACATGAGCATAAGGAAATCTTGAAAAAGTGTTTAGGTTGTGGCTTTCTGGCCCTTGGCAAGCGTCTGTGGCTGATTCAGCCACCACCCTGAGAGTCTGGGTCGGGGGCGGGGGGCAGGGGGCCCTTACCCAGACCGAAGTAGATGCCAATGGTCTCCAGGGAGGCAAAGGTGAGAAGGCCAACTCCAAGGGACATGAACCAGTCTGCAAGGGCAGCCAGGGAGAGCGTGGTTACCATGCAGGTCTGGGCTCCCATCCCCTATCCCCTGTTTCCACAGCCCCCAACTCACCTGCGTAATAGTGATAACACACCAGCAAGGCGCCAATTGCAAAGCAAAGGAGGACAAAGTGGAAAAACTCATCTGTAAAGGCAGAGAAGGTGGGGGATTTACTATTTGCTTCTTTCTCTGTCCTTTTTAATTACTAAAAATATTCCTGTCTCTGCTGAAACGTAGCTCTTATTCAGAGATGCTTCTCCTGACCAGCTCCACTAAATAGCACCCCAAACCCCACCCTTTCCAGCCTTTATCTCACTTTATTATTTTTCTAGCACTTATCACCACTCAACGGGTTATATTTTCATTTCTGTGTTTATTCTCTGTTCCCCTCAGTAGGATGGTGGGTGGAGATTTTGCCTGTCGACTAAAAGCAGTGCCAGGCATGTAGAACTGCCAATACTTTATTTGTGGAATGAATGTTAAATACAGTTGTAAAAAAAAAATGCAAACATGTAAAGTTTACAAGTTTCACATTGCCTCATTTTCCCTCCCTAATCCCACTCTTTAAAATTGAGTGGTGATTGGCAAAACCTTTCCAGGCACATGTATGTACATGCACATTTTTAAAAAGATTTTATTTATTTACTTTTAGAGAAAGGGGAAGGGAGGGAGAGAAACATTGATGTGAGAAACATTGATCAGTTGCCTCTTGTACGCATCCCAACCCGCCACCCAGGCCTGTGCCCTGACTGGGAATCAACCTGGTGACCTTTTGCTTTGCGGGGCACTGCCCGCCCAACTGAGTCACACCGGTCAGGGCTGTACTTGCATATTTTTAAAAACAAAAACAAAAGCAGAACCAATTTGTATACCCGCTGCTGTATAATTTGCTTTTTTCCTCTTGTTGGTAGATCAGGGCCATCTTTCCATCTCAGAGCATATATAGATCTGCCTTGTTCGTTTTGAAGGCTGTATAGAGTTCCATAGTATAAAATTACCCTAGTTTATTTAACTAATCCCCCACTGATGAATTTATTAATGCCAGATGTTTGCTATTATCACCAGTGTATCAAACATCACTACACACAAACCTCTGCATTTTGTGGGCCCAATGCCCAGAAGTGGAATTGCAGGCTTGGAATGTTCTCTTTTTTTGTTGTTTCTTTTTAACATTTTTTTATTGTTCCAATACATTTGTCTCCGTTTCCCCACCACCACTCTCCCGTGCCCCACCCACCCACACCTCCCCTGCTCAATCCTTGCCCAGGAATGTTCTGAACAGAATGCAGTTAACAGAGGTAGAGAGAGGAGCTGAGAGGCAGGGCTCGTGCCTTGGACTGGAATTCTAGGGTTGTCTGTGAAAGAGGCCCCCCCTGTATTTTGCAAAGCACTGTAGTAATCAGGGGAGAAATCACAGGGCTTCCACCCACTCAAGATGTAAACAAAGATCTCAAGAAAAGAGAAAGACAAAGAAAACAGAGAAGACAATTCAGAGATGGTTTCCAGGAATGACACAGGCTTCCTGAGTGGGTGTTGTGGCTGCTAGAACTGTGTCTTAGTTTAGTCCAGTTCAACCACTGATGTGCTGAGAAGCTTTGGACAAGTGTCCTGACCTCTCTGAGCTTCATTGTTCTTAACGATACATTGTGGAAAGAAACCTCTATGCCTCTGGGAGGATGGAAGGGGGTCTTGACTGGAAAAGTGCTTTGTAAATGGTAAATCGTAGTGTGGCCCTTCATATCACTGCTGGCAAGGGGCATTTTGAAAGCAAATGAATGGAAAGGGAGAAGGGTATTTCTGGTTTTGTTTTGTTTTTCCCTGGGGGAAAATTAAAATGAGTATTTCTAGGACATTCCTGGCTCTGAAATCAGTTTACTCTTTAGGGGAAAAGAAGTACGTTATACAGAAACGAACTTAAGGTTTAAGAAAGCGTTGGGCTTAGATCTCGAAGCATTAAATGTGAAAGCATAGAGCTTTAGCTTGAAGTATCAAATGTGAAAACCTGGGGTGAGGTGGATTATAGAAATATTTTCTCCCCTCTTCCTCACCCAATCTTTCAGGAACACAAAATGAGTTCTTAACAGAGAAGTTCATCCTGAATCTTACTTTTAGTTTTCTTAAGAATATTTAGAAAATATCCCTGGCTGGTGTGGCTCAGTGGATTGAGTGCTGGCCTGTGAACCAAAGGGTCGCTTGTTTGATTCCCAGTCATAGCACATGCCTGGGTTGTGGGCCAGGTCTCTGGTTGGGGTATCTCACACATCCATGTTTCTCTCCCTCTCTTTTTCCCTCCTTTCCCCTCTAAAAATAAAGGAAATCTTTTTTTTAAAAAAAGGATTTTTCTTTAAACAGATTCTATTTTTTTCCTTAAATCAATTTACATTAAAAAGAAAATTTATGTTCTGACAGTAAATGGAAAACTAGGATTTCCCTGTTTTAATGAAAAGTTCTCAGTTGCCAAGATATGGAAGCAGTCCAAGTGTCCATCAGTAGATGAGTGAATAAAACAACTATGGGACATTTACACAGTGGAATACTACTCTGCCATAAAAAAAAGAAGAAAATTGTACCCTTTGCAACAGTATGGATGGACCTGGAGAACATTAAGGTAAGTAAAATAAGCCAGTAAGCCAGTCAGAGAAAGACAAATACCATATGATTTCACTCATATGTGGAACCTAATGAACTAACTGAACTAACAAGCAAAAGAGACAGACTCATAGATAGAGAGCAGGATATCAGCTAAGTAGGGGGAAGGTGGGGGTGGAGAGATTGAGGAAAAAGGAAAAAGGACTCATGGACATGGACAACAGTGTGATGTTTGTGGGAGCGAGGAGGTATAAGGGAACTCAATGGTAATGGAAAAAATACAATAAAAAACAGTTCTCATCACATACACACATGAAATTCTGTTACTGAATAGTGATGGATGTTAACTAGACTTATTGTAGTGGTCACATCACAATGTATACAAATATTGAATCATGTACATTTGAAACTAATATAATGTTGTATGTCAATTATATCTCAACTTAAGAAATAAACACCTAAATTTCATTCAGAAAGTCAGGGGCATCTTAAAATTAGACATATACTTAATTTTACTTAAGATACTTAATTATTACCAAATATTATTGAAGTTCTGCTCCTCTAAAGAAAATAGCAAAACAACAGTATTTTTCATTTATAAAAACTATAGTTATTATTTCATCAAAAATGTTAAAATAAGCATAAGGTAAATGGTAATACTTTATTTTGTAGAACAGTAGTTCTTTGAACAGACAGTTCAAAATGCCCCAATTGCCAGATTTTGCTGATTGTACAACACACACACACACACACGACATGCAAAGCAAGATGATGTAGTTTTAGCTAGAAGTCTCTGCACACAGGGAGAGACTCCTCTCTGTGTCTGAAGGACAATGTACAAGGGTCAGGGATGCATTAAAGGCATGGAGTCCCCGAACCATGACCATGTTCTAAGAGAGAGAGTGGAAAAGAGGCTCACCTTCTTACTTTGGGGTATAATGCCATGTCCTGAAGCAACTCAGATATGGTTTGTACTTTGGGAATCTCAGTTTCAGTCTGAAAAGGCTTGTTTTTCTAGCCCAGGAAAATTAAACAGCATGCCCTGGTCATCTCGCTGGACGGAGGCAGAGTGGGGAAGCGGGGTGGACCCAGGTCTCCACTCCCTGAAGGTGGGCTTTTGCAACAACTCAAAATGTTTCTAGAACAACTGCCATTTATTTAATCAAAAATCACTGTCTCCCCACCCTTATCCTCCTCCATGAAGCCCCCAGCTTCCAGGCCTGGCGTGTAGGAGTTCTCTCTGATTCTCATCACCCCTTCACTAGTCCAGTCTAGTCTAACCTCAGGGCTTCCCCAGATTGGCCGTTGCCAGTGTCTCTTCCAGGCCATAAGGCCTGGAAGGCACTTATCGTCCTAGTGACTCCATGTACAGCAGAAAGAGCTTACGACCAGGGTTCAAGCTCAGGTGATGGCACTCTCTAGTTGTAAGAACCACTCCCAATCCTTGCGCCTCAGTTTCCATATCTGCAAAATGGAAAACATTGTACCACCTTCTCAAGGTGATTTGAAGCTACAGGGCAGGGATGGACTATGACTGCTGTTGTTCTAGGCCACTAGCTGACTTTCTACCTGTAGAAATCTGGACCAGACATGTGGAAGCCGCTTTGGAACATCAGTTTCCTTACCGTCTTTCTTTATATTCAGTCTTCTTAACTGAGAGGCCTCCATTTCTCCTTAAGAACAAGAAATTGGTGTTTAACTTTGACACAGGATCACAGGTGGGATTTTTTTTCTTCCCTGCTTCACTGAGAATGGACTTCCTGCATTCTTTTTCCCGAGTCAGAGAACATTCCCTGCAGGACCCATCAGGGCAAAGCTGTAACAGTGGGGATGGCTGTCCTTGGGACCCTCCTTGGCCTCCCCTCCCTCCACAGGCCTGAGCCTGCGTTCTGTTCCATTTCCCCTGAGCTTGGAGGTCCCCTTCATGAATCGCAGTGACACTGCTGGGACTGGCCCACCCTCCTAGGACGGTTGTGACCCCTCCCAATCCCCTGGAAGTCAGGCTGCCTCCTGCTCTCCTCTTGGAGCTTGAGTGCTTACCACTTGCTGGGTCTGAGCCTCTCCTTCGGAGTCCTGAAAATTAGAAAAACAGCATTAGTGTCCAGGCCAGCTTAGGTCCTTCACAGCTGCCTCCACCTTGCAGGGGAGGCCATAGGTGACCTGTGAAAATGCTCCCGTCAAATTGTCCAGCCCCCAGGACCTCTTTCTGTCTGTCCACTGCTGGCTATAATCTCTTTGCCTCTTTCCTGGACCCTATTTCTAATCTCCACTGGCTCTCTGCCTCATGCCACAGCCAGCCCTGCCTGCCTGCTGAGCCCAGGTCGAAACCCCAGGCTCCCAAGTGTACTCAGAGTACCTGTCTGACAGTCATGGACCCTGATAACAGCTGGCTCTCTGGGAGGAAAAACGATGCCCAGACCTCATCCAACACCAGCACGGACAGACCTCTCCCCAGACTAGGCACTCACCTGATTCTCCAGAGGGCACCACCTCCCCAGGGTCACCTGCGCAGAAGGAAAATCAGTGGTCATATACCCATTATCTCCTGGGTGAGGAGAAGTTATACTTCAAAGAAGGTAGACCTCAGTCAGAGATTTCCATTTGCTTTGAGTGGGCGGGGTGGGGACTGGAACAAGCAGGAGGGTTCCTAATTCCATCTAAGGGGGCAGTCGCCACCCACCAGCCACTAAAACCGCTGTAGGAATGCCTGCCCGGTGTTACTGGTCTTCTAATTTCCAAGAAGCCAGAAATCCAGGTTTTTACATAAACTTCGGAGAGGGGCAAAGGAGGAGAAGGAGAGGGAGAGAAACATCAGTGTGTGAGAAATACATGGATTGGTGGCCTCTCGCAAGCCCCCTACGGGGGACCTGCCCGCAACTCAGGCATGTCCCTGACCGGGAATCAAACCGGCGACCTTACGGTCTGCAGGCCGGCACTCTGGCCACTGAACCACACCAGCTAGGGCTAAACTTCTTGATTATAAATAGGGTTGGCAACTCTTTGCATTTTAACAAATCGGTTTGCTAGACGTAACATTATTTTATATGTTACTATGTAAGGAAAACCACTGCCAATTATCATTAGAAGTTGCCAGTGATTTTATAATGCACTCTAATTTCAGATGTGTCCAAATGTGAAAAAGTGTTAGTTGTAGAATTGATGAAATGTATTAATAATAGTTTTTAAAAACACTCTGTGAGCCAGATAAGACACACCTGCCCACACATGGGTCTCCAGTTTACAGCCTGTGCCTGTTCATGACTACATAGATCCGGATGATGACGCCTAGCCCCAAGGCCCGAGCCCCAGCAGGCCCTGAGCTCCTGGGACCCACTCTGGGTTCTACATGGGAGCCCCAGCCCCCTAAACCTGAATGTCAAGCCCCTTGTCTGGGTGAGTTGAACCCCGAGTTGCAGCCTCACCATCAATCTGGTCTGGGGTGCGTTCCTACCCCATTCACCCTCTGGTTCTTGGTGCTTATTCTAGTTTCTGGTGAACTGTCTCCTAGCCCATCACCTTCTTCCCCTCAAGGGCAGTCAGGGCTCCTTATAACCACACCCATTGCCGCCACCGCCACCACCACCGCCACCACCTGGAGCCGCCACTCCTGTGTACTTTCTGTCTTTTAGAGCAGCCCCAGGACTCAAACGTCAGAGGGCGCATTTGGCACGTGGCAATAAACACTCAGCATGCTCAACTGTCCATTAGGGTTAATATACAAATGGACACACCATCTGCGAGTGACTAAAGAGTGACCAGCACCAAGGATACAGAGAATATACCAAGAATGTAATGAAATGAGACTCCAATAGTGTAATTTACTAAGGACCGCCAATGCCTTGGGGTGGGGGTGAGGGGATAAAATAATTCACAAATATGTGACAATATCTACATTATCTATAGCAAATATGAATTACTTTTATAAGAAAAAATATTTTAAAACATATGTAAACATCAGTTTCTCTCATTTCACACCCAGTGAAACATTTCTTTCATACTTGAGGAGTTAAAAACATTTTCTAAACAAAATAATACTTGTTTTTGTAACAAAAAGAAAGAAAAGAAAAAAAATCAGAAAATTCAAATAAGCAAATAAACAGCATAAAGATTACCCACAGTGCTACCACCCCGAAGCAGCCATTGATAATATCTTGATGCAGAACATCAAATTGTTTCATTTACATTTCTTCGAATATATACATAAGTATTTCCTGATTTGGTGGAGGGGCCTTATGAAGAGTTAGGAGACTAAGTAGATTATGGAAATATTGGATTAAACAAAGTTAAACAGGTTTTCTTATTTGGCCATGTGCACTAGTCAGGCTTTTTTGCAAACTTGGGCATTCCTATGAATTCTCCCATGTTATTAGAGCACTACGAAGTAAAGGGTCATAATATTTAGATCTTACTGTAATAATCACAATGCTTGGAGACAGTTATTCCATAATATGAGTTTTGTAGTGATCAGACCCTTAATTTTCTCTTATAGGCTTAAACAGTCCAATATTCCAAGAGAGTGAGTACTGATCATATTTCATTTTGCTGATTGGGAAGCCGAGGGCCAGAAAAGTTAGGGAACTGGTCAAGTCACAATTACAGTTCAGAAGAGAACCTGGGACAATTTCATCACCATGATGCAAAATGCTTACCCCATCCCCACCTGCCCACAGATTGTAACTACTCACTTTGTCTCATTTCCTATATCTGCCCACAATTTTTCAGCTCATGAAACACACGTATGGTCTTGTTTCTGCCCAACAAACCCCTGGCCCCTCATGCCCTTTGCCTAATTCTGTTTTCTCCAAAGTCACTGGACAATCAATTACCTCCATAGAGCTGAAGCTCATTCTTCAAAAGGTCAGGCTCCCCATGCTCAGCACCTGGTGGAGACAAACCCCATTAGTCAGCTCTCCCCAGGAGCTGCATGCCAGGGCAGCTTCCCTCTCACGCCTGCCTGAAGCTGTAAGAAGTCACAGTTCTTGTGCTGGGGGTAAGCTGGGTGGTCTTCAGGAGGCAAGACAGTCTTGCAAGTGCTTTCCCTTTACCCTGCCAGACTCCTCTGCCCTCAGCACCCCTAGCGGTGACTGTGTTCATTTTACTAAGAACGAATTGGGGTCTGAGAGGATCTAGGCCTCGTTCAAAGTCAATAATAACAGCTGTTATTTACTGAGCATTTGCTATGTACCAACAATGTATGAAGTGCTTTAATATTTCATTTGATCATCATGGAAATCCAATGAAGGTGATATTAGTCCCTCTCCCTCCCCCATTTTACAGGTAAGGAAACTGAAGCTCACAAAGTTAAGTTATTTTCTGAAGTTCACATACCCAATATGTGACAGTCCAGATTCAAACCCAAGTCTGTCACCAAAGCCTGCGATCATAGTTATTTTTATCTCCAGAGAAGGAACCCACTGCTCAACTCCAGCTTCATGGGCAGCATTTATCAAACACCTCATGTGCGCCAGGATATGTACTAGGCATTAAGCCAGGCTCTTTTCTTCCCATGATCCACTGGGGCTGAAATTTACCTTTTATTTTTTCCAAAAACTTTCTTCATATTGTTAAAAATAAAACATTCTCATTGCAAAATATTTATAGTATAAGATAGTTCAAAACAGAGAAAATAAAAATCACCTGTAATTTAATTATCCAGAGATAACCATCATTAACATTTTGATATTTTTTTCCTTCCGGTCTTGTTTATAGCCATGTATGTGTGAGTTTTTACAAAGTATATAGGATATCAAACTGATTGTATGATTTGACATCTTTCTTTTTTCACTTCAGAGGGATATGAAGAACAGAGCTCTAACCAGGACAGGGTGTAGCATCAATGACCTATTTTCCAGTTGTCAGACATTAGGTTGTTTCCCATTGTTGTCCTATTATAAACAGTGCTGTGAGGAACATCTTCACAAAGACATGCTCAGTCCCAGAGAGAAACTCAACAGTGAGCTGAATGGGCAAAGAAGAAATGCTGAGGCCTATTGCCTACCGGGTGAGTCGTCCCCATGGGGGTGTCCATGCCCCTGGCTCTGCCGACGTCTTCTGATTCCCCTGTGGTGCTGGTCCTCATCACTGCTCCCTGCAGGGAACAAACACAAGCTGTAGGAGAACCTCAGCCTGGAAACGAACCTGGAATACACTTGTTCTGTTGTTAGTTCTCAGAAGTGAGCTTTTGTGAGGAGTGCGGTCAGGTGGAAATATACTAATAATGTGTTCAGTGGTTATCTCTGGGTGAGAGAGCAAAGGATGGTTCTTTTTCTTCTTTCTGCTTCTTTGTATGTTCATCACCATGTTCATCCATATTGCATATTTTGTGCAATATGTCTATGATTAATCTTTCACAATAGAAAATTTTAATTAAAAAATAATAGGATACATTAAGAACAAAAAGGTGTAGGGAGAGCAGTGCCAAGTACTGGGCTATGAGGGTCCTGCATGTGGAAGAAGACTCGGGGCTGCAGCAAGACACCGGCCCTGAGGTCACCATCTGAGCCTGAAGAATGCACATGGCCTGAGTTCCAGCAACAAGCCGGTCATTGTGGATCAGACACCCGGGTCCTGAATATCAGTCTGTTTCTATGCTCTTACGTGTGTTTTCCTGTTGCTTTCTCTTAGTGTTCAGTTTTGCTAACTATAGCCAATCCCACGTGTGCTGTGGAGACAAGAGGGAAATGCTTTATGGCAACACTTAGGGGACAACATTAGTGTGGAAGCAGCACCCCCTAAGGGTCAACCAGAATCAGAAGACAGCATGTTCCCTCCCACCAGGGAGGAGAAACAAAGGGACAGAGTCCCCTGCAAAAGTCCCCTTGCACCTGGAGGTCCTTCTTCTGGAGCTCAACCTCACAGTGGGTGGGTCTGTATACTTCTTAATAAGGACGGTGGTTTCCTTTGCCTGTGAGGACACCGGCTACCCACAAACCCACTGGACCCACAAACCACTCTCTCTCTTCTGTCTGCTGAAATAAGCATGGATTTTTGTGGCGTTGAGTCTCAGTCTCATCATTTACAACTTGAGGACATAATGCTAGGGAGCCAGGGCTTTGCAAGCATGTTAAAAAATTTAGCCTAAGATTGCTTTCATCAAATAAAATCTCAAACCCAGGCCCAATATGTACAACAGATCAGGAGCTCTGTTTGAAGAGAAGTTACGCTCCCCGGTCCCAGAAAGACCTCCAGGGAATCTCAGGTTGGTTACTGAACCCTCTTACAGCAGGTCAATTAACCTCTGTGCCTCAGTTTCCTCACATGTAAAATGGTCATAATAGTAGTAGCTTCCTCAATGGGTTGCTATGAGAATTAATTGAGTATAGTCCTCTGAACAATAACTGGCACATAGTAAGTCTTCAATACATGCTGGCTATGATGTTGCTGCTGCTGCTGCTGTGGCTGCTGCTATAAACTCAGCCTTACATTTTGAATCAAAAGAATAAAAGTGAAAGAATACTCTGTTGTTTATTACAGAATAATGTGGAAATTTGTAATCAAGACCCAAGTAGAGATGTTCATTTCCTCTAAAGTGCTGGTAGGGAAACAATACTTAGGGCATGATTTGTATGAAAAATTTAAAAAGCAAAACTTTTGAGCAAGGGTGCTCATAAGTGTGATAAACTGGTGGTAAAGTGGGGGTGGATCTTAACAATAACAGTTCTTTTTTTGAGTTTGTACTATGTGCTAGATGCTAACACTTTACTCATGCTCTCCCCTCAAGAATCCTATGAGGTGACAACTTTTGTTACCATTCCCATTTTAGAGATTGGGACCTCAAGGCATACAAGGTTAAGCAACTTATCCAAGGACACGTGGCTAGTTAGTGGCAAAGGAAGGACTTGAAGCCAGGCGGGCTGCTTGAATGGACAGATGTACTGACTCTGGAATCAGAGCACATTAAGAAACCTAAATGTTACTTTAGGTGAGATGCAGCCCCTCGAGGGGTTATTCGGGAGGCATGAGGAATAGCTGCAAAGGTACTACAGAATAACAGGGCAAAATGTGGAGAAGACAGCAAAAAATTTTAAACTATGGACTAAATTGGCTATACAATTAGTTACAACTGTGTACACATTATGTGTACTGATAGGTGGGCCCTGGAAGGCAATGTGAAAAAATAGAACGGAAGTATAAGGTGGGAGATTATGGGGAATGATTTTCCCATGTAAAGGCTTTCCTAAATAATATAAAATTATATATATGTATATTTAAATCTTTGCTATACCTGAGGCAGAGGAGGACGATGAGGAGGAGGAGGAGGAGGAAGAAGAGGAGGAGGAGGAAGAGGAAGATTTGTCTCTCTTATGTTGTTTTGGAGAAAAGAGTCCGGCCTCCCCGTCTTGCCTGTGGAAATCTGTCTCTCCACCTGGGAGGAACACATAGGCAACGATGAGTGTTTCCCGCCCTTCCCACCCCAGAGACCACCGAGGCCTCCTTAGGGATCTGTCTGGACTTGGGGAGCGAGGAGGGGGTGGTTTCTCCAGGATAGTCTTTCCAAAACCCTAGGGCCAATGGAAGATGCAGAAGACCCCAGCTCTAGGCAGGCCCAAGGCATAAAATTCCCTCTCAGGAGCCCAGAGAGGGGCTTCTAAGGCCCCCATCCTGCCCTAAGACTACTAGACTGTATAAGTAGTTGCCAACTTAGAATTCTCGGTAAATTTCAGGGCAGCTGAGATCAGATTAAGGCCTACATCTTCCTATTTCCTATTATGGCACCATCAGGTCCCTTCTTACGTTCTGCAGACCCTCCCTAGTGCCAGCTCAAGCCCGCAGAGACTCTCAGAGATTTGTGGAGCAACTGAGGGCCACAGCAGAAAGCACTAGAGGACAGACCAGACCAAGTACATATGTATGTGTGTGCATGTGTGTAAAATCACTTCTCTAGAGGATTTAGCTGCAACTTGAGCCATTGTGCCAGATGAGCTAAGCAGGGTCTTCTTCAGTACTACCCGCTGCTGGACTCCACCTCCCACGTGGCTTTGCCCAGAGGGTCAGAGGAGGTAAACATACGGTCTGTATCTTCTGTATCTCCGTGAACTCGACTGTGGTCTTGAGCCTGGGTGGAGGATCCTGAAGTCTCCATGGCCTTCTCTGGAGGAATAACAATAACAAGTAATTAATATTACAAGTAACTAATAATCAATAACAAACAGTTAATATCCTTAATATATAAAAAGAGCTTGGCACACAAATCAGAAAAGGAAAAACACCAAATTTAAAAAGGTGTAAGAAGAACAACTTACCAAAAAAAGAAACATACAATTAGGGAAATTTGAATAATTATCCTTTGACAATATATGAACTTACTTTTAAAGTAAACTTTAGTTTTTAGAGAAGTTTTAGGTTCACAGTAAAACTGAGTGGAAGGTACAAAGATTTCCCGTATACCTCCTATCCCCAAACATGCATAGCTTCCCCTATTATGAACATCCTCCACTAGTATTCTTTTAGGAGCGATTTTTTTAATATAAAAGATTTTATTTATTTATTTTTAGAGAGAGGGGAATGGAAGGAGAAAGAGAGGGAAAGAAACATCGATCGGTTGCCTCTGGCATGTGCCCCAGCAGGGGACTTGGCCTGCAACCCAAGTATGTGCTCTGACCAGGAATCAAATCTGTGACCCTTTGCTTTGTGGGACGATGCCCAACCAACTGCGCCACACTGGTCTAGTCAAGAATCATAGGATTCTTGAGGGGAGAGTATGAGTAAAATGTTAGCATCTAGCACATAGTACAAAGTCAAAAAAACCTAAACTATGTTTAGGTATGGTATTTATATTGAGGTTATATTTATTTAAAGTATCCTTAAATTTAGAAATAAGTACTGAAATGTTTATGATAAAATTATATGATTTCTGGGACTTGCCTCAAAATAATCTTTTTGGGTAGTTGGAGGGCATAGGTGGGGGTCCAAATAAACAAACATGACCATCAGTCAATAGTTGTTGGAGTTATATCAAAATATAGACCGTGGTTCTCTCTGGGTGGTTGTATTATGCATATTATTTGTTTCTGATTTTTATTTTGCTATTGTTATAATAAAACAACCAACAATTTTTCATTACTTAAAAATGTAACATGCATAATGTTAATGTAACATCATAAATGTAACATATATCAGTATAGCACTTAATGGTTTTCCAAAGGGCTGTGTGTCTATAATTCCACCTGAGCCTGATCACAAACCATCAGGTAGGAAATGATTAATTACTCTCTTCACATTTGAATTGTAGTTTCTAGACAAAAACAAACAAACAAAAAAACCGAAACAAAACAAAAAAACTTCCCCAAAGACTGTCTCATTTGACCCTTACAATAACCCTGCAAAGAAAGTCCTATTATCCCCATTTTATAAAAGAGAAAACTAAAACTTAAAAACACGAAATGACTTGCACAAGTCAGGATTCCAGGACCCATATTCTAGTTAATGTACACCAAAAAGTTGGTCTGAGACACGAAACTGCTCCAAGGCCACCATGGAGTTGGGCCTCCCTGGAATGCAATGCTGAATGTCACCTGGGGACAAGGATCATACCCGCTTGAGAACCACTGGTCTAGACAATATACTGATTTTTAAATATTTTTTATTTTATTAAAATATATTTTGACAGGCAGAAGAGTAGGCAATATGATTGAAGCAAGATGTTCCCCTTCTGGTTTTGAAGATGGAGGAAAAGGCCAAGAGCCAAAGAATTCAAGGAACGCAGCTCTAGCCGATGGAAGAGGCCTGGCAAGAGTTTCTCTTCTAGACTCGCTGGAGGGAGCTCAGCCCTGGTTTTGGACTTTGATCCCCAGAACTGTGTGTGTGTATGTTCAAAACCTTTTTTTCTAAATTGAGGTATAATTGTCACATAACATTATATTAGTTTCACATATACAACATAATGATTTGGTATTTGTATACATTGCAAAATAATCACCATAATAAGTCTAGTTAACATCCGTCAATCACCACACATAGTTACAAAACATTTTTTTCTTTGATGAGAATTTTTAAGATCATTTCTCTTAGCAACTTTCAAATATACAGTGACAGTCACCACGCTGTACATTACATCCCCAGGGCTGGCTTATTTCATAACTGGAAGTTTGTACCTTGTGACCTCTTCATCCATTTTGCCGACCCGCCACCGCCACCTCTAGCAACCACCTATCTATTCTCTGTACCTACGAGTTTGGGTTGTTTTTGTTTTAGCAGAGAATCTACTCTTAACCCACCACAAGGCAAAGCAACATCTTTCCCTGGTGTCTCAGAGCAAGACCAGCTGGGTTTGAATCCTATCTGACACTTCCTGCTGTGGGAGCTAAGCATGTCACCGAACCTCTTGCTGTGCTTCAGATTCCTTGTCTGTAAAATGGGAACAATAATAGTGCTTACCTCCTAGTATTGCTGAGAAAATAGCATGAGTTAAAACACATGAAGCACTTAAAACAATGTTTAGTACAGAGCAAGTATTTAATAAATGCCAGCTGAAATGATGATCATTATTAAGGCAATAGGGCAGGGTGGGAGCAAAAAGAGAGAATTTGTGCAGCGGCAAGAGCGTGTGCTTTGGGGTCAGGCTGACCTAGGGCCAACCCCACTCTGTCACCTGTGCATGGGATGATTTTGGATGGGGCAGTCCCCATCTCGAAGCTCTCCTTATCACAACTGTGACCTAGTGATGGCAGAGGATTAGGGAGGAAAGAGGGTCAGTGCCTACCCTTACAGGCCTCAGAAAATGTGAGTTTATCTTCCCCAGGCCTCCTATTACCCTCGGATATTCGGTGTCCAGCTCCAACACTGCTTATCCTCCATCTCCTATTACCCTCTTTCTAAAATAAAAATTCCCATTTTGCAGGACAAAATTCATCTGAGCCTTAGGAAGTCACTAGCCAAGAAAACTGATTAATATTCAGGTATGAATGACTGATAACCATAAGCCTCCAGGGCATATCTATGTTTTGAAAAGAACTCTGTACGTAGCAGGTGTTCAGTACATATTTATTGGCTGAGATCGTCTCTACTGGTGGAAGTTCAGAGAGAGTGGAGGAAGAGATTTAGAGCACACACTGGGGAAGGAGAGCTTCTGGCTGAAGCCAAGTACACCAGAAGTTCAGCACACTGGTCCTATCTCTTTCCTGCCCTAGCTGTCTAGATCACTGGGCAGTCCTGGGCCACACACAGCATTTTCAGGCCTCCAGACTTCCATCCAGGCCATTTTTCCTATTGTCAAAATTGTATCTGACCTTTTAGGCACAGCTCAAATAACACCTTCTTCATGAAGGCCTGTGCTGGCTGCCTGACCAGAACCCTCCTTCCTGACCTCCACGCCGCTAGCCCTTCTCTGCCCACTACCCTTGGACTCCTTCCTTGTAACAAAGCTGCAATTTTTTTCTTCCAGTTCCAGTTAGATACTCGTTTTTCCAGCCTTTCTTGTCGCTGGGGGTGGCCATGTGACCCAGTTTTGGCTAATGCAAAGTTAGCAGAAATTTGTTGGGGTTTAGGAATAGTTTCGCTTCTCCTGACAAAAGAGGGCAACAGGGTTGGTGCTGTGTCTTGCCTCTCCTTCCTTCCCTGAACATGAATGTAATGGCAGGAGCTACGGGGGCCATCTTGTGACCTCGAGGAAAAGCCAAAGCACACATAAAGATGTTGTTGAGCTACTGAGCTCTTGCTAGCAGCTGCTTGCTTTTTGGTTATTTAAGAAAAATAAATCTCATTTTATTTAAGTCTCTGGTCAGAAGTTTTGGCATTTGTAGCTGAACACAATTCCGACTGAAACATATTCCCTCTCTTACATTTCTATATTAATTGAGCACCAACTCTATGCTAGCACTGGGATACTGTGGTGAACAAGTTGCAGCCCTCCCTCAAGGAATTTCAAGGTAGACCTGAGGGCTGTTTGGAACCAGTGGCCAAATCAGACCAGAGTCAGTCAGGGAAATTTCCCAAGGGGATGCTGGGGGTAAGTTGGAAGGGCGAGAGGGGATAATATGGAAAGGCACAAAAGCAAGGGGCCATGGACTACCTGGGAAAGAGTTGGCAGGAAGCAACTTTAAAGAAGAATGGGGGAGGCCCAGAGAACACCCTTACCCCATCCCTTAGCACATCACTCTCTTGAGCCTTAGTCAACTCTGCCTTGTATCAAACCCTTCTTCAAGGCAGAGCACCTTGTTGCATAACTCCAGAAACCACCATTCCTATTCACCTTCGCATCTGTGCCCAGTGCTCAGCAGAGGATCTGACACACCCAGGGTGTGTCTCTTCCACTAGATCATGAACGCAGCCAGGGTTAAGGAGTGAGGCTGATTTACCTATGTGTCATCAAGCCCTGCACAAGGCCCGAGAGAAAGCAAAAATGATGATGATGATGATGATGACGACGACAATAACAAATAAGTGCTTACTATCTGCCAGGCAATGATCTAAGCATGTTACATGTATTAACTCATATATTCCTTACCACAGCACTAGAGGGGCTCAACATGGTTGTGCCCATTTTATAGATTAAGAACACTGAGGCATGGAGAGGTTAAGAAACTTGACCATGCCCTGGCTGGTGTGGCCCAGAGGATTGAGCGCCAGCCTGAAAACCAAAGAGTTGCCAGTTTGATTCCTAGTCAGGACACTTGTCTGGGTTGCGGGCCAGGTCCCCAGTAGAGGGTGTGTGAGAGGCAACCACACATTGATGTTTCTCCCCCTCTCTTTCTGCCTTCCTTCCCCCTTTCTAAAAATAAATAAACAAAATATTTTTAAAAAAGAAAAGAAAAGAAATTTGACCAGAGCCACATAACTAGTAAGTGGCTGACCAAGGATAGTTGCTCAGTCCATGCTGAGGGCTAGGAAGACTTATCCTAGTACTGCTTCCCAGGCCCTTGTCCTGTGTACCAAGAAAGACGCAGCCATGGGAGTGTTATGCAAATGATGCTGACTTGGCTTACATTTAGCCCCTGGTGGAGCCCTGAGCAAGTGTTCTCACAGCCAAGGCACTTCCTTGGGCAGTTCTGCAGCACACTGATCTATCAGAAGAGGGGAAATGGTAGGACCTACCCTTGTTCCACCCCTCCTTCACCCATAGTTCTGCTATGAGAAAGGATAAAT